TATATATATATATATAAAGGGGTCACTGTTAGGTCCAAAGTGGGTTTGCAGATCAACCCACCCGAATCAAATCCGTTTAATAAACGAGAATTCGGGTCGGGTTCGGGTTGACCCATCAACTCAAAATTGACCCGAAAATGATCTGTTTTGACCCGATAACCTGTTTTTTGACCCGAAAACTAGCAATTTTTTGTTCGAATCAGGTCATTTGGGTTGGGTCGGGTTGACCCGGACCCAAAGCGGGTAGGGTTCGGGTCCGAAAAACTGATCCGGTTACAGAAACGGGTCGGGTTCGAGTTGACCCGAATTGTACCGGATCAGTTTCGGGTTCGACCCGAACCCTACCCGTGACCCGAACCCTACCCGTGACCCGAAATTGACACCCCTAATAAAGATGCATATATAACTTGATGTCAATTCTATATATATAGAATATGCTTTTAAAATAATGTTATACCACTCATTTTTTATCGTTTTGTATGATGTGGTTTTGCCTTACAAGACATTACATCAAGTCGTTTTCTTATTTTTGTAATATGATATATATCTTAAATTTTATTTTGAATGGTTTTCTTACTATTTCTTAAAACTAATTTTTTATATAAAAATTAAAATTTTATACTAAAAAGCTGCTTAAACATTAGTAAAAAAATCGTTCCAACCGAAATCTTAATAGTGATAATGTTTGATATGAATTTTTCTCTATTTAATTAGGATATGTTGAGCAGTATACTTCAAAGAGGATTTTATTGGATTCATAGCTAATGCATTGGATTGTTTATGATTTACATTAGATTGATGATTCTTTACTGGTTAAGAGATAAATATACCCTTCATAGTTAGGGTATATTCCTTAATATTTGTGCATATGCTTTAATTATTGATGATATACTATGTATTATGTATTATTTATGTTTAATATTCCACATGATCATTTTGATCAAATATGAGTTGCAAGAATATTTATTGCACAAATTTCTAGAAATTTGTATTTATATAATAGATTTTGATATAATGACTGAAGATTCTTAATTATGAGACCTTTATTATAAAATAAAATTTATATAATGTGTGCTTGTTTTCTTGATTCATGTATTGGTTGGATAAACCTTTTAGAGTAAAGATTTCTTGAAAAAAAATTATTGATTTTTTTTAGATTGATGCTTATATTTTCCTAATTGTAGGATGTTCTGATAAACATAACTCATCTTGATTTATTAGTTGGAAGTTTTAACTAACAACTAAAATCTTAAGTTTACAACTTACATATATGATTTATGTGTGAATTTATTATAATTGGCCCTAAGAAATTGTCTTAACAAAAATAATTATATTATATATATATGAGCGAGACAATTAGTACAGGTTTTAAGTCAATTAAGACAGATTGACTTGATTTTTTTTAGATTGATGCTTATATTTTCCTAATTGTAGGATGTTCTGATAAACATAACTCATCTTGATTTATTAGTTGGAAGTTTTAACTAACAACTAAAATCTTAAGTTTAAAACTTACATATATGATTTATGTGTGAATTTATTATAATTGGCCCTAAGAAATTGTCTTAACAAAAATAATTATATTATATATATGAGCGAGATAATTAGTATAGGTTTTATAAAAAAAAGTACAAGTTCAGAGGAGTACAATGTTTTTTTTGGGACATTTAAGTCAACTAAGACAAATTGACGCACACATCGCATACACAAGATTCATTCAAATTCAAAATCTCTTAATTAATAGTCTAAACTCCCAAGACCAATGAATTGTGCAGTACAATGTTTACAAACATGTTTGCCCACACATTTGCTGGATTTTCAGAAGTTTATTCCCCTTCTTTATTTATCTCAATTTGTTCTTCTTAAATTACAGTTTGATGACTACTAAACTAATCCACCAACTAAAGCTAATAATAGTCATTAAAGAGCCAGCAAACGAAGAACAAACCATGTCAAGCAAACAAGTAGTTCTATCACAAGGACAGAAACTATTGGTAATATATCATATCAAACAACACCCTTTACCTTCAAATCCTCAAGCAAAAGCATTAGAAAGAACAAGAAGGCCACAGACCTCAAACCCTTCAGTTCAACACATTAAAACGCTCAGGAGTCCACTTGATCCAATTTCTGGGCAATTAAGTTGCAGTCTTCTTCTTCTTCTTCCTCCTCACATAACAGAGCAAGAGTTGGGGTTTTCATCATTGAATATATTGGTAATCTGATCTTCCTGCTTACTTTCCTGTCTTGCATCACTCACAGCCTCAGTGTTCCTCACATACCCTGAAGGTGCCTTCTTGTCGTAGGCCTGAGCTGCATATGGATGAGCAACTAAGCTGTAGGGAACATAAGGCCAAAACTCAGACTTCTTCCCTGTGGACTGAGCCTTCTTTAACACTTTGTTTGGATCCACATGACCTGTCACAGTCACCTTCTGCTGCTTCAAGTCTACTTTTACAGACTTCACTCCTGCAAATCCCATATATTAAACAGCTGGTCTGGACAAAAGCAGAGGGGGCAATCAGAAAACACAAACCTTTCATGGAAGAGAGAACCTTCTTGACCTTGCGCTCACAACCCTCACAGTCCATCCTCACTTTGAGCTCCACAGTCTGCAGCTGCTTCTTCGCCTTGTGCTTGTGGTTACTGCCAAATAAGTCACTGAAGTACTCTATAGTTCCACCTAGACCCATGGTAGTAAAAGCTGAAAGTTCTGCAGAAGGGGATAGTAAGAGAGGACAGACTATAAGATTGTTATATGGGAAGTCACAGAAAAATGTCCTGTAAAACTATCAGAGCAAATCTTACTTGAAATAGGCAAGATGATGCGATCAAAACACAGTAACTGAAGTGTTAGAAGGATCTTTAGATTTTTAGAGACCAAATAAGATAACTTTTCGAAAGAAGAGGGGAGATGCAAGGAGCAACAAAGTTGGGATTCAGTGTAAATAAGATCTTTTATATAGACTACTGAAGGAAACCTTAAGGTGCAAGCAAGGTGTAGTAGTGTGAACAGGCAAGGAAAGTGTTGAAAGCCTTCATATTTTTAGCAAGGGTGGGTAAATATCAATTAAAGAGAGGGAGTAAATATAAAAAATGATTGATTTATAATTTTACAATCAGTGTTTTATTCTAAAATTATTAATAGATAATTAGATTCATTCAGGAAATTTGAAAAAAAAAAGAAGGTAATTTTGCATTGATAATTTTCTATTCAATCCTACATAAATGATAAAAACTCTTATCTCAACAAACAATATGGGTGAAAACTACTTTTATTCTAATTCCTTTACCATTGCCAAATCAAAACTAAACATAGCCTATCCAAAATAATTTGATTGTCATGTAAGCAACATTCTATTATTATTCTTTCAAGTTATAGTCAGAGGCGGAATCAGTCATAATTTTCAAGAGGTGCAAATTTATAAGTAGTTGTTGGTAGATATGTCGGGGGTCCAAGGGGTAGCGCCCCCTAACGGGGTTCGACCTGTCCAATCAGATTGCATGGTCAAGAGGTAGCGCCCCTGGAATACATTTTGATTTCTATTTCTATGAGTATTTAGTTCATAGTTTCCTAAAAATAACACATCTACACAATGTGTTTAATTATCTTGGGGGAAATTGCCTAAAAATTATAGTATTTTAAAATTTTTAGGGGGGCAATTGCCTAAAAATTTTATAATAAAGAAAAAATAAAGATTGAGGGGGACAAATTACCTAAAGAATCATATAATAAAAACAATTTATTTTATTAAGGGAGAATTGCCCCTCTTGGCTCAAGGATGTTCCGCCCCTCGTTATAACCCTTGATACAGTGATTTTAGCAATCTTAAATTTTATTTGGGATATCTAAAATAACTTTTTAAGAAAAAAAATTAATTTAAAATATTTTTACACTAAAAAATAATTTTAAAAAATAGAGAAAACGGTTCCAAATAAAATCTTAATCAGACAAAAAATAATTAAATTTTTTTAATAAATTTTGTCTCCCTGATGTCTTAGGGGAAAAGTGAGTTGTTACGTGGGTCAATACTAGCCGACTATAATTCATCAATTCAAGGCGACAGCGAACGGAGAATCCAGTAGATATTTTCCAGCAAGAAGACAAGAAAAAATGGTTGAAAATGGCTGGATCTCATGTGCTTTGCGAGGGATAATTTTTTTTTTTAATTTTATATATATTTTAATTGAAGAGAGCTTTGCCGATAATAAAAAAAATAAGAAGCTGGTAACGAAAGAAGCTAAGCTTTGAAAAAGAAAATGTACATATGTGAGAGTAAAACATAAAAAAATCAACAACTCTTAAAAAAAATGGCCAACTAGGATCAAACACAAGTAATTATAGGAACTTAATTAATTATGTGTAATCCATAATAAATACTTCGATTAAAATATATTTTTTTTTGAGATAAGTAGTCTTCCTAAGTTCGATAGCAGATCTCATATAGCGGGATAAAGGATAATTGTTATTGTAGTATTTGAAATAGACAAAAATAGCCATGTCCAACACTTACCAATAAGGCACAATCAAAAGCATTACATTCGCATCCAGCATCCCCCAATAATGAATACAACAAAATCAAAGTGCTGAGAATGTGCAATCTTTTAATCATCTTACGAATAACTCATACTATCTTGTAAAACTTATTAAAAAATATCTCCAACAGGCAGGGGTAGATGCAGTGTGGGGATCCTGGGGGCACGTGCCCCCATTGACTTTGATATTAATATCTAATTAATATTATTTATGATGCATTAACTATAGGTTAAATCAAATAATTTTTTTTCTTTTTCTTCGCAATAGCAATCCCACGTGCGGAACTCGGAGTTTCGATTCATCCATCTTCGTGCAAGCTAGGTTGCTTGGAAGAGAGAAGTCCAAACGCCGCCCAGTCGCCTCGTGTCGTTTCCACCTTCCAACACTGAACGTCCAGACTCGACCATCCTCAGCCCCTTGCCCACCCCGCTTTGAAGCTAGCAGCACAGAGATGACAACATGTAAGGGCTGACGACTACCACATGGAATTGCTTATCTTATTATCATCTGAACAGGCAAAAAGCAGTCGTAAATAATTTTTATTTTACCTTTGAAACACTTGAAAGATCAACTTTTCCTAGTTTGCTCGTTTAGCCCTGAATAAAAACACTGTTTTTGTGAGGCTTTGTTTGGGATAGTTTTTTTATTGGTCTTAAAATATTTTTTTAATAAAAATTAAAATTTTTATACTAAAAAATAGCTTTAAGAAATGGTTAAGGCATTCTCCTTCAGCATAATAATAATAATAATAAAGTTTTAAAGAAGCAACTTAAAAACATGATAAAAATTTAGTGAAGAATGGCTTGGTTCTGACGTTTACTCTAATGTGAGTTACTGTATGCTATTTATTAATTTTTCTATGTCTGAATGGGCTGCCTGAGCTTTCAGAAGTTTTGGACCATAAGTTTGATAGCCTGATTATGTGGCCTTCAGTTTTTTTTTTTTTTTTTTTTTTTTTTTTTTTTGCATAAGCTTGCAATTTATGTGGCCTTCAGTTAAATATCTAGTCATAGATAGAAACAGGACAACAATTATAATGCAATTTTGCAATATTTATTTACTTTTTTGTTCTTCCACATGAGGACACCTGACATGACATATTGGCAGGCAGAGTAATTGAATTAGAGGCTAAAAGGAGATGGAAACAAATTTGTGCTCTCTAATCTGCTTCTCTTGATCATAAATCTTTGTAACCATCTTATTATTAAGAGTTAGCTAATTTTATTTTGAAGTATTTGAATTCCAATTAAAGTGAGTTTTATTGAAATGAGATATAGCAGTATTTCTTAAAAAAAAACTTATTATTATTTATTAAAATTCAATTCTGGAATTTTTTTAGACTATAGTAATTTTTTTTAATCCATAATCAAATTAGCATTTCATTATTTTGTTATTAATAAAAAAATATAATATTTTTCTATTATTTAAGAGTTAACTTTCCTCACTCTTAAATTATATTACAAAAGCAACACGGCTGCATAACAGATTGTCTATCACTAAAAGACAAGAGTAATATATATGTTAATAATACATAAAAAGATCAAAACATTCCTCAACTATCTCGACTGACCATTTGGATCTCTCACATCTTTAAAATAAGATCATTTTCATCTCAATATTTAAAATAATGAATTTTAGAGTTAATGATATTAGAATTAGAAGTATTATCAAATTATTAAAAATTTTCAAAATAAATCTACTAATCATTTGTTTAATAAAAAATTTAATAGTATTTTAAATTATAATTTTAACATATTTTATAAATTATAATTGATAAATATATTTATGACTAAAACCAAGATTTAACTATATTTTTATAAAGTATAAAATATAACTAACAATTTTACATTTATATCTAAAAATAATATTAATTTTTGTTACTAAACAAATGATTAATATTTTTTTTTGAAAAATTATCATCAAATTATGTCTAATACATAGTTTAATAAAAATAAAAAAAATAAAATATCTCTATTTGTAATCATCAAGTCCAACATCAATTATTTTGAATGTTGGGATCAAAATGATCAAATTTTAAAGATTTGAAAGATCAAAATAATTAGTGGATCATTTTGGATGTTCCTAAAAAATTAAGGGACCATTTTGAATCTTTTCTCAATAATAATACAAAAACAAAGCCTTCATCAATTTTCAAGGTCTAGAAAGAGAGATTTAAGACTTTCCTCGTTGATACATGCATGGAAAAACTGGTTTAATCAAATTTCAATCTACACAAAAATATGATCCTGAACAAATAAATAAAGAGCATTCGCAAGTAAAAATCAAATTGTCAACTAAAATAAACACAAGTTTTCAAGTAGTAAAACAAACAACCAAATTACAAGCTTGATGGTATAGTAATTTTTGTTGTTGTTTGCAGCCGCGAAGACTTTCAACTTGTCTTTCAGTCTGAATCAGAACCTGCATTAGTTGAAGTTCTAATACTCCGACTTCTTCCAGAGTCAATCTCCTCTTCTGCAAGCTCATCATTGTCGCCTTTCCTTTCACCGAGAATGCCTAAACAAACTACAGTTTAAGACTTGCCTCAAAGATCTGAGTCATATGACATAATTTCAAAGAAATATGCGTACCTTTCCTCTTAAAAAGATGTTCTAAAGCTCTGGTGGTGAAATCATCTTTGCTTCCCAGGTCTTGGAACCCAGTCACCCTATCAAAGCTAATGCCATTCCTGAGAAATAACCATAGCCAAAACAATGGAAACCACATAAGCTTCGATTTTAAGAACAAAAAAGTTTTGACAAAGGTTTCGTTTGGGACGACTTTATTATTGCTTCTTAAAGCTGTTTTTAAGTATAAATTTTTTAATTTTTATCTAAAAAACTGCTTTAAGAAGCAATAAGAAAGCCGTCCCAAATGAAACCAAAGATGCAAAAATTAACAATATGATTATGCTCACCGGAACAAAACAACACATGGAAGAGTTTTAATTGCCAGTTTCTTAACAAAGAATGGTGCATTCTGCAAACAGTACCAGAACATTTAATTTCTATCATTACTATGCACCATCTTGAAAAAAATTTACTGGTAGGTGGGGGAGATGAGACTAACTTCAGCGTCTAATTTGATGAACTTTGTATCAACGTGCATTGGAGCCAAGGCCTTCAAATGCTTATCCATTATCCTAAAGGAAATTGGATCATGAAAACAAGGCAGGAGCAAGGGTTATTATGAAGAAATAGTTTAGAATGTAAGTTACTTGCAACGGTAGAATTCCCGGTGGTAGAAGTGGCAGATAACTTTCTCGCTTCCAGTCACTTCACCAAGAAAATCAGCTTCAGTTATCTCCCTATATTCACCGTGACCTTGCCTTTTCAGTACTTCTCTCTTCTCAGCCATTGGATTTTGGAGATCTCAAACTCTCTAAGAGAAGAGAGAACAGCCCACCGAGACATGCAAATCAAAGCAACTCTCAAAAAGTTAGTAATAGTACCTTCAAAGCAGCAATTCTTTCTGCATGCAATTTTTCCAGTTCAGGATCCTGAATCATAAGCAAGTCAAAGAAAAGTCAAAGAAGGGGCAAAGATTCCAAAGCAAAAGTTCCAAAAATGCCAAAATAAACATAGAGTTCCAAAGTCAGATGAGATATTTGAACTTACATCCAGCAATTCATCAAGGTCAACATCATCGGTGGTTGTATGAGATGCTTGTGCCTTGTCATTAGCTAGCAACTCCTGAAAAGCTTGTCAGAGATGAGAATTGAAATGAACAAGTATGTAAATAACACTTCATGCAAATAATGACTTTAATTTGCCCACTTCAATTACAAAAACATGCTCAGAAACTGGTTTTCTCACATGATGTCACATGGAGATGCGTTCTCGGACATTATCTACAATGATATTCTCTCGATGCTATGCAGGCCATTTCCACATAACAAATTAGGAGTCTCTAAGGTTTCGTTTGGGGCGGCTTTCTTGTTACTTCTTAAAGCAGTTTTCTAGTACAAATATTTAAATTTTTATACTATAAAGTTGTTTTGAGAAACAGTAAGAAAGCTGTTCCAAACGATGCCTAAGTCATAGTGATGTTATAGCACGTGCTGCATAGCTGAACCTGGAAGAATTCCATGGACTTTTGACTATATTGATTTTCATGACTTCTTTATTCTATTCTCCCAAGACGATATAAAAGGGAGCCCTCTTAATTTGTTTGTAGATCTCTAGCCTAATGATAGGAAAATGTGGCGGTTGAGGAAGTGTTTTTGCTAAAACGTCATTGAGCGCATATATATTTACTGCAAATTTATGACCGCTAATATTAAATTTGTTAAACATAAACATTTTTAAGAATTGCAATTTATTGTAAAGTATTGACTATCTATTGTAGCTTGATAGTAATGTAAACTTTATTTCTCATTGAAATGGCATCTTATATTTGCAAGTAAATTGTAAGTTTTCTTAAATTGTTCTTGATCCATTATACTTTCCAAATTATAAAAGACTCATACTTCAATGTTGAAACTGTTTCATATTTTGTTTAGGGTTGCCATGACGGTTCAAACACTTAAAATAATTGTCAAGCCATGTCAAATATTATTTTAACAACTGTTTAAGTAGAACCTCTTACGAATCTAGAATTTCTAATGGAGATCATATAAAAGAAAATTATGATTCACATAATAAATACCAAAATTTACATAAAACTCATTTTCTTTAGGTGTAATTGTATAAAGTTGAAAAAACCTTAAACCAAAATCAAAGAATAATGTGTCAATCAATCAATCAATGAGAAATTTGAACTGTACAAAATAAAAGAACAACTAAATATTTGCAACTCAATCAAAATCACATTTGTAGCAAATTTGACTAAAATCATTGACTTTTACAACGCCAATAATAAAATACTCAGACGATAAGGAACAAGGAATGAATTCACTCAACATCAACATCAAGTAGGGGTGCAACTGAGTCAAGCCGATTTGTTAGCCGGCTCGGGCTCAACTCGTTTACAAGCTCGCCAGTCGAGCTAAAACATGATTTCGAGCTCGTTAGGCTAATCGAGCTCGGGTTTGAACAATTGTCTGCTCGACTCGATTACTCGTCGAGCGGCTTACGGAAAGCGGAACGGTGGGGACGAAAGGCGAAGCGGCACAACCTCGAGTGCAGACGCAGAACTGCGTGTGAACAGCGGATGCAGGCCTCGTGGCACTACTTGCGGATGTGGAATAGTATGCGATTGGCGGAATTAGGTGCGATTGAGAGAACGACAGACGCAACGGAACTACGTGCCGAGCGAGGAACTTAGCAGCTCGACAAGCTCGTCTTCCGTGATGAGTCGAGCTCAAGCTCGACTCGAGTTCGAGCTCAGTATTTGGCTCGCAAGTTAGGCCTGACTCTAAGCTTGAATTGAGTCGTTTGCACCCCTAACATCAAGCCTTTATCCTACATAGGAAAGAATTCACTAAGTAGGGAAAAATCTAGACTGACAACCCGTACAAGCGTATGGCTTTCCCAAAAACTTGGAAGTCGCGCTTACATGTGCTCCATCAACATCCAACTAAGCACTCATGATTAAACAAAAAAATAAATTTTACTAAGCTGCTAAATCTTATTTGCATCTCTCAGGTGTTGATACTTATAGAAATCAAACTCTAAGGGTTGGCACTATCTGCCATCATCCTCTGAATCAGAAAACCCATAATGTAAGCACAACAACTCATCACGACAACCAAAGAACAACTCTAGTAGTTAAGCACAAGATTGACGCAAAAAAAATACATTAAATTTTAATATCTCGTTTCAAGTTTCGCCACACAAATCACATCCCTGAAATAAAAAGTAGGGAGATACACGGAATCAAAGAGGAATGCCATTTTAACTACAACAATCACAAACACTAACAGAACCAATGGCATGATATGAAAAAAAGTAAAAGAAGCAAAACCAGCTATAGAGAACACTAGCTAAATAAGGCGTATATGATAACAGGAACCTAAGCTAAAACAATCATAGTTGCATGAACCCTGCTATTGCTTCTCCTTAATCAAACTGTCTTTAAAATTTTTTACTTTAATAAATTTAGCATTTTACATACAACAAATGAAGGCATAAATATCATGCTTCCTGCTATGTAATCATCATACATAGGTCTCTTACAATAATACACAAGATACCTCTCTAAAATCCACCATCAACAATGGACACAATTTCACCATCTGATATAACTACAAGAATAGGCCATGTAGAATTGTATGGCACAAGATTTAAAATTATGAAATTAGGCATTAAGGTATTTTTCGTTCATGAGATGAGGTACAAACCTCAAAGTAGTTTGAAGCATAAACCGCACAAATAACAAAATGAAGGTAATAAATATACTAGTATCATAACAAATTAATATATTACGAAATAATATATCAGCATAGTAACATAGTAAGAATAACAAATTCATGTAGTATCACGTGACAAACCGCACAAAAAACAAAACATCAAGTAACAAATTACACAATTTAGGATTGTAATGCAAATATTAATTGGTCAAAGTAACATAAGATATCAAATAGAAGTAATATAATATGTCAAATAAGAGTAATACATCAAATAAATTTAACACATTAAGTTTCTCCCCTCACTCCTATTGTCTAACATGGCAACTTCCAAAATTCCAATGATCAAATTATTAATATAATAAGTAATCAAAAGTTTTCAACACTCTCATCACTCTGGATGTCTGCATTTTAGTCATCATCATACTGAATAATTTTCTCCCTTGCCTCAACTTTGATGGAACCAAAGTTCTCTCAATCTTCCTCCTCTTTTTCAACCAGTCTCATCTTCCTCTTCTATGATCAACAATAATTAATAAAAATTTAAGAAAATTAATTAAAGTTTAAGATAACTTCAACTATTTAAATTTCCTTATATATATATATATATATATATATATCCTTTTCTTTTTTTTTTCTTATTATAATTGGCCTGTGTTAGATGCACTTGTCTTGTTTCTACCCTCATCGAAGAAATCAATATTTAGATCTTCTTATTGTAAATCAAATGATCTGACCTAATTATCATCATATTATATTTCTTCACATCACCAAGTTTTTCTAGAATAAAATATATGCAGTGTGTGGCACAAGGTCCCAATATAGATATGTTCTCTTCTCCATCAACTTGGTCTTGATTGCTCTATAAGCACTAGCATTATCTATCATAATTGGTTTAATCAAATGCTCTCCAATCTCATTTATCACCACATCAAAGAGTCTAAAGAGGAACTCAACATCCATGACCTGAACAAATGTTTCTATAAATTTTAAGAAAATAGTTCAATAGGAATTATTTATGAAAATATTAATCAAGTTTTTATTCTTAATATTATACCAACCATTGGGAATGATTGTCAATCTAATATGACTCCAAGTTCATCTAATTTCCAATGGCTTTCTTTGTGTTACCCAACTCCTCCTTCAAAACCCAAGTTCTCAAGTCATATATGAATGGGGGTTTCAAGTCTTGAACATAAGCACCTATGAAACAACTTATATTGAAGCAAGAAGGGGAGTTGTCACATTGAACGAAATGGCATTCTCATAGAAAAACCTTCAAATATCTATGCAAACACGTTTGTGTGTCTGTCTAACATCTTTTACAATGCAAATGCTCTCCTTGCTTTTCATCCTCCAAATTTACCATATAATGATTGATTGGACCTCTTGCACATCTACTTGACATTGGCGGCAAGGATGAGAAGTCCCTTCCAATGTGTTCACTTTTATAATAAGATCTGATGCTAACTCTATCATTAAACTATCATTGCACCAAAGACTTTGATATTGTCACATGTTAATATATAAACAAATCACTTCTTTTATTGATTTTGATAAATTTGAAAACATGCAAACATTCAAAGAAATAAAAACCCTAACTAAACCATTAAAAGAAATTATATTGATCAAGGAAAAAAATTTTTGATCAAGGAAATCAATTAGGGTTTAGAGATAGAAACCGATTAAACAAAAAATTTGTTTGAAGAAGAGAAAACCCTTGTGGAAGAGGCAAACTTATCTAGGAGGTGACAATGGCGTTGACACTAGAGACGGACGACGACAAGCATTTTGATTGTGTCAAATTTTAAAGTCTATTTGAATTATTTTGAGATTTGTTTACTTTAAATAACTTTAGCTACAAGCATTTTAATTGTGTCAACTTGTTAGTGTCCAATATGCACATGAATTGTTGTCTCACATTTATGTGTCAAGTCCATGTCCAAGCATTATAGGTGTTATATATTGTGTATGAGGTAAGTAGATACACATCACATATGGATGTTTATATTATGAACATATGAGAGTATTGGGCATAATCCCATATTTGATGGTTGAAAATTATGTTGACATAGAAAGTGTAAGTGGTTGGCCTTCACCTAGAAGGCTTATTTGAGTTGAAACATTTTTTACCGTTGGTGTATCCAGCCCAATAAGGGTATCATAATCGATAATTTAATTGGGATTGAGTGGTTCATACAACTTGTGACTTGTATAGGTCTTGAGACCTTTTTCTATGATTAAGCAAGATTTAAAAGCAAATGACTTTCCAGGCAACTTCATTCAGAGGGGGCTCTTGGTACATGATGCTTGACAATGCTAAAAAACTTTCATTTGAGCTAAAGTGATGGTCACTGTGGAGAGCTCATATGGGAGAAAAAGATTATTAGGGCATATGAAATTATT